CAAAGGCATTTCACTAATAAGTTGGAGACGACCAAATTTGAAGACGTAGTCAGTGAGATGCTCCACACCAGGCAGAGATTCAATAACGCGGACCAAATGAGGTTCTGTGAGACCATAGAGTATTTCTCCGCACATATGCTTGGGAAAAATTTTTCTGGGTAAATCGGACGAATTGCGGCGGTTCCCATCGATGAGAGCAAGAACTTTTTGCCAGACACCATCACAAGTGGATGACTCAAAAGAAGCCGAAGGTTGACCAGGCTCATCCACGTAAATCACAAACCAAGGCCTGGTCTGACAGGAACGAGATGACTTGATCTCTAGCAACTCCGCATCCTGATCGACGAGACGCTCCTCAATCCGACACTCGTAGCGGCATCGAGCGTGCACACGGCGGTAGGACCAGAACAGTCGAGAAACAGAATATCCAACGGGATAAATAAAAGCAGGGGTATGAAAACGACCAGAAATAAGTTGATCAGGAAGCAGTTGACCTATGTGCCGTAGGGTAAGGGATCCAATCCTTAGAACAAAAGGGCAGGAAAGCATAGGAACTGTCGATTTATTCAATTCCCCAAAGTCACCGAGCTCGCCTCGCTCAGCGAGATCAGAATCAATAATAACCTTCGCAACTAGAAGGCCTTCGTCTCTATCAATGTACACTCGCCGACGAACAGCCAAACTATCGAGTATAGATGCCCCATTGGTTACTCCACGGTGGTGAGGACAATACATACTCCTGTCCACGTGAAATGAGCATCCAGCTTCATGTGCACAAGGAAGGTGGAAAACGGCTGGACACTGAGATTCGAAACACGGAAGACGAGCTCCTATCTTGCGGCACAAATGGCAAATAGTACGGTCCGCCTTTTTGATAGCCAGATGGACATCAACTAAGCAACCACTGACCGTCTCAAAGGCTTCATAGGACCATAAAGCACAGTTAACGTGTACCCAAGTATTAGCGCCATAACTTAATAGGCGACCAGCAACGTCGGAGCGAGCATCTCCGATAGTATGACATAAACGACAGACACGCGTATCACGAACGGTTTTCTGGTTGTCAATGAGCGCGGTCTGAGACCCAGGGAATAGTTCCAGTTTTTGCAGCTCTCCACAAGGTATATGAGTACGTCTCTTTCGTCGGGCTGAGATAGCGCTAGAATTGGAAGTTTCGTTGACATAAGAGGGCAAACGAAGAGCTGGTCCGTTTAAAAGTAGTTGGTTTTCAGATGATTCTTCTGCATCACGCCTTACCATGCTTTGATATTCGGAAAAAGCGGAAGGGGAATATCGAAGCCACCTTATGCCGCGCCATGAGTGGGAGGCAAGGGCTGAGTTGGCGCTTCTACTCATGGAATCAGATTTCATGCGACGGGTCTTGCCGCCACCAACAATCTTTTTTGCTGCCCCTTTGGAGAGCTTGCCACCTCCACTAGGTTGTATGATTACTCGTATATCGTTGTGATTTGCATGACTAGACGTGCAGTAATTTGAAAGAGTTTTGGCCGAAAAATAACGAAAATGATTGAGACAGGCATAACTACAGAAACGCAAGACTTCATCTTCACTCCGTAGAACGAGAGCGGTCGATTGTTCATCGCTTGTAGGGAAAATTTGACAGCAACACTGGTGACAGATCAAACTACAATCCGCAGCTTTTAGGACCATAAGACTCATAACTTCTTCTGAATACAAAGGCCTCGTTGGAAATGAAGTATTTGGCTTTTCAGTGATATTATTATAAGCTTTGGTTCTCATTTCCAATGGTGGGGTCGTGCGTCCAGAGATTTCGATCGGATCATCCAATTTTAGTCGTACCAAGAGATCAATATCAACTGTGGTAGCCTCCTCGCGAACATGGTTAGTGGGTGCTTGGAATCCTCTTAAAATAGATTTCTTTACAAGACTAGCCAGATAATTTCGGCCACGAAGCCTGTGTAGCAATCCAAAAGGATTAGTGCCTCGCTTGGCGGCAGCTGATAGCATCTCCAAGTCAGATATGCAATAGTGAAGGAAGGCCTGGTAAAAATTTCGCTCCTTTTCTAAAAAAGACATATTTCGGAATTCATAGTTGCTGATCCCTTCGGTGCTAATGATGGGAAGATTAGGAGAAAGAGAGAAAGGAAATAAAGAATATTTCCGTCCCCAATGTGCAGAGACTTGCTCAGCATCCAGCTGCTCAGATGATAAAAGACGTCTTGGTAATCCATCAGGTTCCAAAGAAGGATGAATAAAACAAGGAGAGGGAAGTGGTGCAAGAAGATCAATCGGAGCACTCAATAATGGTTCCTGTAATAACCTATTAGCATCCACCTGTAGCAAGCCCCTTAGGAAGGCATCTGTTGGCGGGCGAGTAATAACGTGCTGCTGGGACGATTTGGAAGATAAAACAAGAGAAGCCCCAAGCCGCCTGGAAGGGTCAACTTCGGAAATCAACTGAGATGTTGGTACTGAAACATTCTTCGATTTCTGTGATCTACCTGTAAAAAGTTCAAGCTTTCGCTTCTTATTTAGTGCTGATTCCACAGAGTTATGAGATCTCTTTCTAGAATTCTGCTTATAGGTATAAGGAAAAGAAGATCCACTAACAGAACATGATCCTTTTAGTGAACATTGAATCTCTTGCTGATTAGAGTGGATAGATGACCTTTGCTGAATGGTGTCCACATGTTTGGGGCGATAATTCTGGGCGGAATCAGATTTATTAGAAGGTTTGGACTCGTACGCCAGTGAATGTTCATTACGAGAATTGTTCATTGGAGATACGTCATAGCAATAATAATCTACCTTTGGCATAGGAGAAGAACGATGCAAAGCTATATGGGGAAAAGAATTGT